AAAGAGTTTTACTATGAGTATACTTCAATTTAAAATTATATAAAACAAAACCAATACAATTGTTTCACGTATATGGCTTTGTGTTAAACAGTAATTATATCTGCACAATGTCCAATATCAGCACAAATAAGATGGCATAAAGTGTTATAAATTAAATCCTAATCTTTTACAGGAGGAAGAAATAGATAATAGCAAATTAAAATGTCAAGAAATAGCTCTAAAAGCATGTTGTTTAGAAATACTAGGCCTTAGGCTGGTGTTGTGACTCAGTGGTAGAGTGCTTGCCTAGCATGTGTGAGGCACTGGGTTCAATCCTCAGCACCACATATAATTAAATTAAATAAAGGTATTGTGTCCATCTAAAACTAAAAATATTAAAAAAGAAATACTAGCTTTTTGGCTTTCTTGCAAAATAGTTACAGCATGAATAGTAGTTGCCTCAGAAGTATGAAACTTGGAGGTACAGACTRGGGTAAGCCACTGTTGTTTTTTGTTACAAGCCTCATGATACCCAAAGATCCCATCACAGCCCAAATACTCAACTTTACAAAGAATTTGTTACTACCGCTACACTGTCTTACAAGGCATTTACTCTCATTTTAAAATAATCATTAGGATTTTGCTTTCCTTGTGAACAGCAGAGCACTGTGATGAAAAAAGTCACCTTCCAGTCATCTTCACAGCTGAATTATTGGCAGGTGTCACATGAGTTTTTCTCTTAGAATACTTGTGGTTTGACAGTTTACAGTAGAGATAATCTCTTACATCAAGCACCCTAAGCTGTCAACTGGTTCAGCCAATGTAACATCTTCAGACATTTAGTTTAATTATGTATTTTGTCTTTACTGCTTTTCTTTTTAAATAATTAAAGGATGACTTCCATAAAATCAAATGTATATCTTATTTGTTTAAACCTAAGTGTATCTAGTGTCTCAAAATGCCAAGTTAAGTCCAAGTAAACAGACATCTTAAAGGATTATTAACAAAGATTAATTATCTTATGTTATTCTGACAACAAATGTTAACCACTGAATATATTTTAATGGTGTCTGTTGTTTAAATATAATTAGGAGTGCATTTTAGAGCTTGTGACTACAAAGAAATAGCTTTTATGTGAGAATTTATCCTATCCAAGGGTTTTTCAGTATCAAATTACCCTTGACAGGCAAGGGAAGTTTGACTTAAACCCTTAGGTTTTATAAACAGAACTGCTTAGAATAAGCCTAAAACAATTAGTGCTTATTGAAGTGTCATTAAAATAAAAAAAAAAAGTGGGGTTGGAGATGTAGCTCAGAGGTAGATATACCAATAATCATAAAAGGCAAATTGGCATTTAGGAAACAGAAAGAGGATCCCATAATCTAGTCTGTCACTAGACTGCCAAACTGAAAAGTGTCTAGGGATTGTGGGTCAGGACCTGTACTGTGAGCTGCACTGCCCTTGTGCACAGGTTTTACCTAGCCTATCCTTTCCCTCAACTCCTAGTGATCACATAGGGCCTTGTACACACGTGGTAAGGAATCGGGATTTGATTCTAACTACAATGGGATGTGGCTGGAGTGTTTTAAGCAAGGGATTTATAAAATATGAATTATTTTAAGGATCAAATATGTGATGAATGTAGAAGGGCTCAGTAAAGACTAAAGCATACCCACATATTTTATTACCTTGACAAATGGCAGAACAGAAAAGGGAAGAAAATACTGCCAACTAAAATTCAAGTAGGACAGGTTCATTCTAAATCATGTGGCCTGTAGTCTTCTCCCAGGCTTCCCTTACATCTCATTTAGGGAGATGTGGATGATCACATTTGGTAGAAAAAGAAGCAGAATTTGGTTTTCAAAATCTGACTGGGTTGCCAATTAGACATCTATGTGGAAATACTAAGCAGGCAGCTGGATACACCTATCCATCTGGAGCTAAATGGAGAAATCAAGAATGAAAATACAGACTTCAGATCCATCAAAATATAGAGTATTAATAACAACACAGGCTAACCTTTATAGTGTGTAATACATTTTGGTCACTATTTTAAGTGCTTTATATGTTTAAATTCATTTGGCTTTCACCACAACCTCAGGAGGTTAGGTCCTATTATCCCTACTTTAATAGTAAAGAAAGTGAGGCATAAAGATATTAGATAACCTGTCTAAAGACAATCAAGTATGAACCAGAGCCAGGTTTCAAGCTAGGCAATCTGACTCTGGAACCCTTTAAGGTCATGGGATTGCTGAGAAATAAGAACAGAAGCACACAGGACTGAGAATAAAGTATTTAAATTCAAACCATTTCCTGAGTCCTTAGTATCAAGTGCCTGGCATGGTTTCAGGCACTGCAGATACCAAGAAAAAATAAGACACACTCCATGAAGAATATCAATTTCATAACTACTAGCTGAGAGCAACTTTTTACTAAATATCTAATATGTGCCATAGCACAGTGAACATATCCATTATATAATATGGATATATTATATATAAGCATTTTAGACATATTATTTCACTTAATTCTCCGAACAACTTAAGGAGGTAGACATTGTTATCACCATTTTAGAAATAAGGTTCTGAGAGATTAAATAATAACCTCAGTCACTTAACTAGTAAGTTATAGAACTAGGATTCAATTCAGGTACATTTTACTTCAAAACCTAAATTTTTTTCTAGGGAAATTCCATCACATGCTACAATACAGATGAACTTTAAGGATATTATGCTAAGTGAAATAAATCAATCACAAAAAGCCTGCATGATTCCATTTATATGAGGTTATTACATTACATAATAGTAGTCAAACTCACACAGAAAGGTGACTACCGGGGACAAGAGGAAGGGAAACAGGGAGTTGTTCAGTTGGTACACAGTTTCAAATTTACAAGATGAAAAAGTTCTGAAGATCTGCTGCACAAGTGAAAGCACTTAACATTACTGAATTGTACATTTACTAAATGGTTATGATGGTAAACTTCATGTTATATATATTTTTATCACAATTTAAAAAATTTTTTAAGACCTGTTGTTTTGCCACTATACCACGTCATAATGGATATGTTCACTGTGCTATGGAAATATGGTTAATAATTTATTCTGCACAATAAGAGAGGAGAAGCTGTGATCAAAGAAAGTTACTAAGAAAGAAAATATATTAAAGATGAAGGTTTCCACTTTATCTTCACTGTACTTCTGGGCAAGAGTTCCTATCTCAACCTCTGCAATAGCTCCCACACCTGTATACAACTATCAATAATCAAAATAAGCAGCCTAAATCGGGCTAGAGAATATTCCAGTAGCTTTCTAATCAGGTGAGATTCTCTAGTTTCCTCCCATTCTAAAATCTTTCCAGTACTGGAAACTAATTAACTTTCTAAATTGCCTCACTCATCATGCTAAAGAACTTCTATGGCTCCTTATTGTTTTTAGAACACAGATTATCCAGATAGGTGTTTAAAATCATATTACCTAATCTTTCTGAGCCTCAGATTCCTCATCTGTATTAAGAGATAAGTCTGACACATAGCTCAAAAGATCAAGGATTAAAGATATTGTACACCTCATAACGTATGTGCTTACTAAGGGACAGTTACCCCTACCCCTTTCTGCCTGTCTCTACATACCCAGCTCAATAAGGTATTCTGGCTTATAGGACAGAGCAAGTATTTCCATGATCTTAAGGCAGACAGAAAAGAATGTAAGAGGAAAAAAGGTTGCTCATCTATGGTTGTCTGATGTCCAGGAAAATATGGCTCACTCAGAACTGCTTCTTCATCTGCAATCCTCCACATAGACCACCTTCATTTATTTTACTCTCTTTTTAGTCTTCTGCGTAATATTTAACTGGTTGAAAATTAAATTTTAAACAAAGTTGTACTGTGAAAAGTCTCACTCCTATTCTCTCCTCTATTCACCCACTTCCTACCCTTGTTCCACAAACCACACGATTAGTTTCTTGTATCCTTCAAAACTTTATGCAAAAGCTTTCTTTAAATTATGCTAATGTTTTACAGGTGTGTTTGCAAGGATAGTTCCCGGACCATGAAGCTTGATGAAGAGGGAATAGGTCTTAGCCATCCTGCTTTTTGCTAAAATAGTGTCCCACACTCATCAAAAAACATTTAACATATATTGGGCACCTATTACAAGCCAGACCTTAAGTATAACATTCATTGATAAACCTTGAATCCTTACTATGCACCAGAAATGTGTTAACATTTTAACAATTGTTTCCTTTGATCTTCACAAACTTAAAAGGCAGGTTACTAATTCTCATCTTCATCTTACAAATGAGGAAACTGAGGCACGTGATGGTGACTGCACAAGCAAACAAGAGAGCAGCGCTTTGAACCCTGGCCTGACTTGAGTCCTTGCTGTAACACCATGAAGCTCTACAATGGCAAAACAGTCTCTGCACCCGTTGGAGCTCAGCCTAATGTGGAGACAGACGAGAAAAGGGCAGACAACAAAGAAATATGTAATTACACGCGAAGAAACTAATGTGAATGAAACCAATTCGGGGCTTTGACAGACTAACAATGGGGACCTACTTTAGAAAGAGGGAAGGAGGAATGTCAAGGAAAGGCCTCTCTGAGAAAATGACATTTATGATACGCTTGGGAACCGTTTTCAGGGCTGCAATGAGGACCCCCGCCCAATTCACTGGTTAGAAACTCAAGGCCCACGGAGGATAAAGCAAACTCGCTAGGGTCCCCCAGACATGTAGACGTGGCGCAGGGAAGGGAGGATCCAGAAACTGGGCCCAAGGCTTGTACACGCCATCAAAGCCCACAACAGCCCAGTCCCGCTCAGCCCCTGTCGGGGGGCCTCTACTTGGCAGCTGCCCACGGCCCCACCGCGGCTGACAGCGTCCAGGCAGCCCACGGGGAGGCCCTGCGGTCAGCCTGGAAGGGTACGGCCCGTCCAGCAGCGGCCTGGAAAGGCCTCTTCCCCGGCCCCCAGCCAGCTCCCGCCTGGTCCGCCCCGCCCCGCCCCTCCGGGCCGGCCTCGTACCTGCACCGCCCGGACCAGGCCCCGACCGGTCAGCTGGCCCTGCCGCAGCTGCAGCAAAATGTTACCCGGCCGCGGCCGGCCGCCCCATCCGCCCCATGCCGCCACTGTTGCTGCCGACCGTCTCCCCCGGCCGGCCCCAGCCCCAGCCGCCGCGGGCGCAGCCGCCATGTCTCCTCGTCGGACAAACAGGAAGCAAGCGGCCCCGGGGCCGCGTAGATTTCTACGGGGCGGCGGAGGGCTCCCGCAGCGCCCCCAGTGGGCTGACGGCGGAGGCACAAGCCGCGTGGCAGTGTCCGTGCGTGCCCCATGTGTTGCTGGGAAGTGTAGTCCCGCTCTGAGGCGGAGCAGGTGACAGAGATTCGGTGTTTCCTGCACTTTCAGTTTTCAGGGCCGTACGATCAGCATTTCCGGGAGGTTCTTTCAAGTCGAAGACAAGTCCCTGCGTGGGCACTCTCCCATTTGGAGAAGATGCGGTAAACTGGCCAGTAAAATATCCTGAACTACAGGCCGGGAATTAAGCCCTCAAGTTTAATTCCTGCCTCCTTCCCTCTGCGTCAGCCTCGCCACCGACCTCCACCAAGTCACGGCATTCTGCACCTGCCACCTCAATTTCCTCGTTAGTCCGTTCAATCTTTGGTTGTTGGGACCAGATCAGCCAGTCAGTATTTCCTAAGGGGCCTGTAAACTGGATTGTAATGATGGTAGTACTGTTAGGTGCAGAGCAGGCTGAACTGTGTACGTGGCACTCGATGGGTCGCTGGGGTCAGGAGTGTAGATTGAAGCAGAATGCCTAGGACCCTGTTTGGGATGTACATCGGATGTTTGGAGGTATAGCGGATGACAGCAAATCCACACATAATTAAATGTAAAATAACAAACTGGACAAGGTAACTGGATAGATTGTTATGAAGTTAAGTGGTAAAGGAAAAGATTAGTAAATTGTTACACCAGCTGTCAGATAAAACTCTGTCCTAGTTTCTCCCCATCAGCATGCTCTCTCTACTCTGAGCCCATATACTCAATCTTTTGACATATTTTTGTAGAAGGTTGGCATTGACTCCTCCCCTTTTTCTTTGCTAGAAGGCAATCTTGCGATTCATGAAAGAGGAGTGTCAAGTGTGATGAATTAGGATATGACTCGCTACTAAGTGAACACTTTGAAGAATAGGCCACTATCGGGGACAAATAGAGACTATGGTTATCATCTTCATGCCCTATTTAAAAAGTGTGGTCTCTACTCACCTCCAACATTTTGATGCTGGATCATCTGGTTTTTCCAAAAAAGTAAAAAAATAAAAATAAAAATCTGGCTTTTATGTGAAATCCCCCAATTCTGAAATCTTTACTAACCAAATAAAACCCTGGAAAATCCTTAGAAGAGGGAGACCAGAAAAAGATATCCACATACATGGAAGTTTAGCATGTGGTAAAGAAAATATTTCAAATCAATGAGAAGGGAAAAACTAATAATGTTAGGTCTCTAATAAATAACCATGATGATAATGATGATGATGATGATGATTGATGTTAGGTCTCTAACTTCATACTAAAAGCTAGAATGAATCAGACATATTAAAAGCTAAACATAACAAAAATCAAAGTGTAGTCCTAAAAATGGACTGTAATGATGGTAGTACTGTTAGGTGCCGGACAGGCTGAACTAAGTTGTCTGCAGGGTGGGCTGAAGGAATGTTAGCTGTGGGATAATCTGCACACTCAAACCCCCCTCTGTGTGGTCCTTTATCACCTATATGCATCAAGGCTGAACACTCAACCCCACCCATCTGGTGCAACAGAAACCCACATCTAATCCCTGCCCCATCTGCCTGAAGGCAGAAGATGACACACTTAGCAACTACTATATGATCCAATCACTGTACGCCAACAAGGCAGCTTGCAGATCCAGAGACCCCACTAGATTTTGGCTATAAAAACTCCCTCCTTCAGGGCCCCTCTCTCTTGCTTTTGCTCTGCTCCCCCCCCCTTTTGCTCTCTCTCTTTTCTCCTGTTTCTCACTGCTGCAATAAAGATCTCTTGGTCGCTCTGAGTGTTGTGGTCACTTTCCTTTCAAGTACAACTCCATAAATTTACTAAAAATCACTGGATCTTATACTCAAAATGAATGAATATTATGATATATTCAAACTATAATAAATCTGTTTTAAAAATGTAAAAATAACAGAAGTGAAATATAGGAGAATATTATTATGATCTGGGGGTAGAAAAGTTTTGGGGTTTTTTGTTTGTTTTCATTTTGGGTACTAGGAATTAAACCTCAGCCCTTTTATTTTTTATTTTGAGACAGAGTTTACCTAAGTTGCTTTAGGTCTTCACTAAATTGCTGAAGCTGGCCTCAAATCTGCAATCCTCCTGCCTCAGCCTTTCAAGTCGTTGGAATTATAGGCATATACCACCGTACATGAAAGAGAAGGAATTCTTAATTATAAAATCTAGAACCAGGAATAAAAGATTAATAATAAAATTGACTTTATCAACAGGATAATCTGTACAAGACAGCATGAACAATCCATAGAAGGCACATAATATTCTGAGGAAAAGTTAATGAAGGGAAACCTAGGAATGAGAGACAGTAAGAGAGAAATGAAAGACCAGAGACCTGGCAGAGATACACATGAGAGTTTATTTGTCGGAACTGACAATAAAGGCCATCTCTCTGTAGGAGAGAGAGGCAAAATAGGCTTGAGTCCTGGGACTTTCATGGGGGAGGCTCAGGAATCAGAGACTAGCAGGTCCTAATGCAGATGCTTAAGGGTTGGGTTGGTATGAGGGAGTGATGAGCCTTTCTCAGAAATGCCCTTGGGCAGGAAAGCAAAACTTTTTCCTTAAAATGGCCATCCAGAGGATCTTATATAATATCTCCAGAATTTATGAAGAATTTACTGTTCTTTTTGTCTGAAGTTCTCAACCCCAGGTAGCTTTTTGAATGGCTTGCTTTCTCATCCCCAGTTCTCTGCTCAAAGACAGATCTGCCCTGAGCATCTATGTAAAGTAGCATCTCTTACACTTTTCATCTTATTAGCTGCTTTTAAAAAAATTGCACCTGTCTCCACCTGAAATATATATTTGATTACTCTCTGCACCCATCCCCCTGGACTAAAGTATAATTTCAATGTTTTGTTCTTTGCTACATCCATTCTCAGCACCCACAACAGTGCCTGGCACATGGTAGGTGATAAGTATTTATTAATGGTACCAATGGGTTAATGAACAGATGCATGCACTTACATAATTAAAAAGATAAGCCAAACAACACAAGAGGCAGATAGGAACAGGCAATTCACAGAGGGAAAATGGCCAGTATATRTGGAAAAAGATAACCCTTCTCATTTTACCAATAGTAGAATAATGGTGGTGAGAACATAAATTGATACACATTTCTAGAAAGCAATTGTTTAGCGATATGAATCGAGTCATAATTTCAGCAAAGTTACAGGATACATAAACAACATACAAATTGGAGAAAATCAGCCCATATACAACAGCTTCAAAAAAAGGATAAAATTCTTAGGAATAAACATAACCAAGGAAGTAAAAGGCTTATACACTGCAAAACAAAACATTGCTAGAAGAAATTAAAGAAGATACAAATAAATGGAAAGACATTTTGTGCTCATGGATTGGAAGACTTAATGTTGTTAAAATGTCCATTAACACAAAATAACCTACAGATTCAAAAAAATACCTATGAAAATCCCAATGGCATTTTTTTTTTGTAGAAACAAAAAACAATCCTAATTTGGGGTCTCAAAGAACCCAAATAGGCAAAACAATCTCAAAAAAGTAAGAATGAAGTCAGAGGTTTTGTAACAGGGGTTCACTTAATGCTTTGACAATATCCCTTGTGCTTTGAAACTTAAATGATTTTTTCTTTTACGCAACTTTCTTCTCCCTTTCTCCTTCCTGATCTTCTTTTCCCTAACCTTTTCCCAGATCTTCTCCTCTCTGATCTTTATTTTCTCTAACCTTCTCTGCCACAGTCTGGCTGGGCACAATTCAGGAGCCACTTGTCAAAAGAAACGAACTTTATTTTTAGAACCACACACCGCACCACACAGCTCCTTAGGAAAAACCCTCAGAGCCCAACTGCCACCACCAGCTTCTCCCAAGCCTCTCAACCTCTCCCACTCCTCCTGCTCTTGAGGCCGATTGGCTGGGTCATGTGGGCGGAGCCAAAAAAGTCTCCCAATGAGCAGCTCCGGAGTCTGAAAGGGCGGGGAAACAGCCCAATGAGCATCACCGCAGAGGAGCCAATCAGCTAGAAGTTGCTGGGGCCGCTGTGAGCCAATCATCAGCTGGCAGCTGGAAGTTTGCTGGCAGCTGGAAGTTTGCTGGGGCCCCTTTGGCTGTGTCTCAACATCTCCCCCTCTCTGTTTAAACAACAAGCATGTGGCTTAGGGACCGTGCCTGCCTTAGGTTGTCCAATACTACATATGGTCCTTACCCGTAATCGGATGAGCTGACCTCAAGGCATCAGCCTCCTGTCTTAGGTTGGTACCATTGCAATTGGATCTTACCCGTTATTGACTACCAGTTCAGCATACAGCCACACCTGTGGATAGGTCTTTGTACCAGTGGGGGGGGGGGTGAAGTTCTTTGCCTCACCTCTGTTGGCCCCCAAATTTTAGCTGAACGACCATGACAAGCAGAAGGGAGGAAGATACACCAAGCCAATTGACGGCTCCTTTTGGAAAAATTGTACCACCGATGACA